AAAAGAAAAAAAAAAAAAACTCGCTCGAAACCCGCCAAAACCCGCCAAAACTCCGCACCCAAACCCTATACACCTTCTATAAACCCTAAACCTTAAACCCTAAACCCTAAACCCTAAACCCTAACCTTAGAGAACTCTGGAACCCCTTCCAGATCTCTTGGAGAGAGAACTCCAATGAAATCCTTCGAAGGCCCTGAGCCCTCCGTTTTGTGTGCTAAGGAGGGACAGCAGCTGCGGTGATGGTCCTGAGGTCCGGCAAGAGGGCTTTACGGGGTTAGAAGGCGACAAGCGCTCTACTATAGGAGCCGAAATATAATTTCGTATACTATTTTGGGCTTCCTTATTCTATTTAACATAGTATAATGTACCCCCAAACCCTATTCTTATTAGTAAGGCTCCTACAATTAGATGGGTTCAGGTTCAGGGTGTTCTGGGTTCGGGTGTCAGGCTTTTGAGGTTAGGGTTTATAGGGCTTGGCCGTTGGGCCAGGCTCCCTGAAGCAGCGACCTGAGTGCAGATTTTGGGTTTAGGGTTTAGGGCTTAGGATTTAGGGTTTAGGATTTAGGGTTTAGGGTTTAGGGTTTAGGTTGTGTTTGGACCTGGCATGGCAAAGCTTTTTGGGGTTTAGGTTTAGCGTGAAGGGTGTATGTGGGCCCTGCACTTCTCAGCCCTCTTGCCTGGTCGGCCCGGCACAACCCATCTCAGGGCACAGGGGCATTCCTGTGGAACTGCTGAAACATCAGAGAATCTTGGGTTTGGTGCTGTCATCCTAGACTATAAATAACATCACCAGTCGAGGACGAAGATGCCAACACTTAGTGACTTAGTGTAACAACACTAATGACACAAAGACTCTGGTCGTGCGGAGAGTCTTGAGGTTCCGAAACCGTTCCGAAGCCCTCTGTTGCCTGGGGGGGTTACTTGATGCCCGAAGCCCTTGTCGAGACGATTTAGAGTACAAGGCCTGTACCCGGCTTTCGCTGCAGACCTGTTTACGTTACCATTCTCTTTGAATTTGGTTGTTCTCAGTGCTCGTGTGCTACGATACAGTCCTTATGTCCATTGCCGCTGTGCGACAGGAATGTCCGTGAGGATAATGGGCGTGCCCTCCTGGAAATGCTGGAGCACTTGAGATTGAGGAGGGCAAATGCGCCCAACACCCACATCACGGTGCCTGTGCGACGGAGAGCAGTTTCTTTTGGGCTCTGCATCATTGGTAATAACATCCTGTTAGAGTTCATACATATACATATATAAACATATTTGTTTGGTGTATGTACATAGGTATGTATGTATGTATGTATGTATGTATGTATGTATATGTGTATGTATGTATGTATGTATGTACGTATGGAGGTATGTATTTATGTATGTATGTATGTATGCATGCATGCATGCATGTATGTGCATTTGACATATGTGTATGAAAATAAGTAAATACATACGTGTGTGTATATACATATATATATATATATGTACATATGTGTACATATTGTATATAAATACAAGATAAAACGAGCCCACCAATCCCGATGCGTATCATAGACACCCGTAAACCAACCTGAAACCCAAACCCTCTAGAACCCATATAGCAGGCCTAACGTAGGGGCCTAAATACCAACACTATTTTGGGGGTTCCTTATTGTAACTACGGTATAATGGGCCCCAAAACCCTATTCTAATTATCAGATTGGCCCCTATATTGCTCCAGTCAGTGGGGCCGCTGTGCCAGTGGTCTTGAGAACGGTCGGCAGAAGCTTAGGGTTCATGGTTTAGGGTTCGGCGTTTAGTATTTGGTGTCGGAACTTCCATTGAGTGGTGGTTATCAGGGGTCTTAGGGTTTGTATGGGTTTGCGGGGATGGATCCGATGATTCTAGGAGTTCAGAACCGATGATTTCGGGAGTTTTGAGCATCGAGTGAGGGCTTGTTCCGAATTGTGATGTCTTTTAAGGGTTTAGGAATCTGGGCTTGCTCTATCATTTGCGAATTTGGGGCTTGTTAAAAACTCTGGTCTGTTTTGGGTCGGTGTCGTAATTCGTCAGGCCCGGGTGCGTTGGAAGGCACCAACATCACCAGGTGATTTTGTAGCAGGAAGGTTGCACAATGCGTGCGGCCTAGAGCGCGGAACCGGTTCTTTCCTGCAAGCCTAGATGAACACAAGCCAAGCTTCACTTGTGTCTCTGCTTGTGTCTGTCTTGGTGAATCTCGGAAGTTGAGTTGCTAATGCTGAGAGTCGGAGTCGCTTCATCTTCCGCTTGAAACAGGGACGCGCTTGTTTGTCCTCAGATTCGCTTTGCCTTAGGTGCGGGTCCTAGCGGCGGCGGACCATGACGGGATATGCGCAGCACACATTCTGTCACAGCTGCTGGACATCCGGGACGCCTCTTGGCCCTGACTATTTAGGGGTTTAGGGTTTAGGGTTTAGGGGCTTGGGCTTCGGGGGAAGCTTGACTGCGGTCTTGTTGCGACAGTTAGGTTGTATGCGAAGGGATCTAAAGTAATGTAGGGGCCTGAAGAATTCGAATAGGGTTTTCGGGCCCATTATGCTATAATTAGAAGAAGGGAATCCCACAATAGCAATGGTACTTATCTAGGCCCCTGCATCAAAAATTGTTTGCTTCGCTTCTCGTGGTGCCGTAAACGGCTGATGTGGTAGCGGAAATGCCCCTTTGCAGGCACTTCTCGCCCCCAAGTTTTCCTTATCACCGGGGGGACGCAAGATTTGTGCGAATGCAAAACTGCCAGGTCAAGCATACTTTGCAGCCGGTGTGGGAGAACGCGGACATCGCTCAGCACATCAAGCACGTGGAGAACGACACAGAGGCCGTCGCGCCGAAGATTTAGGGGTTAGGCCGGCGGGTTCATTTCTTGAATCTCTGGTTTTTGCACTTTGAGCATACGATGTAACATGGCTTTCGCTCTGAGATATTTACCCATGGCTTGTGGGTTCAGTAGCCGCAGTAGAACGAATGGCACTACTCCAGATCCACGCATCAACTATGCAAAACTAGTAGTAGTTGTTGTGGCCGTAGTCGTAGTGGTGTAGGAGTCGTAGTAGTCGTAGTAGAAGCAGACGTGGAAGGTTTAAGTAGGAGCAGTAGGCATAGTCGTCGTCGTTGTCGTCGTAGGAGTAGCAGTAGCAGCAGCAGTAGCAGCAGCAGTAGGAGTAGTAGTCGTCGTAGTAGCAGCAGCAGCAGTGGTGGTGGTGGTCCTTCGGTTCGCCAAGACCCTAAACCCTGAACCCTAAACCCTAATACTAGGCCCAAGCCCTAAACCGAAGAGACCTGGACCAGGTACTCTCAATGGTGCTGCTGAATTGCGGGGCGAGCACCGACCTCGAGAAACTCGTGTCAGAGAGCAAGGTGGGACTTTCTGAAAATTACGACAGTTAGGGTTTAGGGTTTAGGACTTTGGGGGTTTAGGGTCTAGGGTTTATAATTGGGACTTTCTGAAAATTAGGGGTACCTTATTTTGGGGGTCCTTATAATGAGGATCCTACTATTTAGGGTTTAGGGTTTAGGGTTTAGTGTATTTTGGGGTCCTTAAAATAAGGATCCGACTATAAAGGGTACCATATTAGGGTCCCCTATTTTCGGAAACCCCCAGGTGCTCCGATCTCACGGACCTGGAGATCGTAACAGGGAGGTCTGAGCCATGAGTAGATGTGTTCCCGGTAAAGTGCTCATGTTGTTACACTGTTCCCAAAAATCTTACTCCAACTTGTGAGGCCCTTCTAGCCAACGCCCTTCCTGGAGCTGTTGTGTCGCATTACCGTTTACATGAAGTCCCCACTCAGTCGGTTTGTTTTCAGCAGGCTCCAGACGACTTCCGCTGCTTTGTGATCGATGCTCACCGTCCAATTGCGTGGGCCGGGCTGCGATTAGTAGAGTTTTGGCGACAGCGGAAAGCTACGATGAGGGCGAAAATACTGGCACTATTCTTTTTGACTTCCTAAAAATTTGAGATACACCGAGAAGGCTCATTACGGTCCCTATGATCTACAGGAGCCGGGTCGGTCTCCAAAAAGCTACCATGAAACATGTTTTCAGCATCCGAGCAGGTCAAAGTGGTTCGACTTACCCTATAAGTCTCCATTTACCCAAGTCTATATACTTAGGCCCTGAAGCACCTAAAAAGACATGGACTACTCTTTTGCCTTGATGGAGCCTATACCTGGGCCCCCGGGGGTGAGGCTCATCTTCGCAGGACGTGCCTTCTCCTAAGCTCTAGACTCGAAGCCCCAAACCCTGCGCCCTAAACTCTAAGCCACGAACCCTGAACACGCTCAACAAGAGCTCTTCTACCCCTGTGTACCATCAGAAACCCTAAACCCTAAACCCCTAAACCCCTAAACCCCTAAACCCGAAACCCAAAACCCTAAACCCGTTCTCCCCTTCGCATTCCTTCCGCCTCGACCTTTCAAGCCTAAGCTTCTTCGTGCCCCACACTGTCCAACAGAATGCAATATTTAGGGTTCAGGGGTTTAGGGTTTAGGGGCTTTAGGGGTTTAGGGGTTTAGGGGTTTAGGGGCTTTAGGGGTTTAGGGGCTTTAGGGGTTTTGGG